ACCTTCGTCCACATATCCTACAAACCTCAACTTCAATTTAAACAAGACCTAGAGTTAGAGGATGAAGATGAAAATCTGGAAAATGTTCGATGTTACTCAATGAATATAAAAGTAGATAATACTTTTACTCAACAAAATAGTCAAATAATCCCTACTATTAGAATTGAACACAATAGAAAAGGTACTCAAATGGATGAAACATTTAAAATGATCAAGCCAGAAGTAGAAGAAATAATAAAAGAAAAACAAAAAGATGAATACAAAGGACAATTAAATCCAATTAATGAAGCTAAATCGACCTATCTTGGAGTTTATTTGAAAGACCAACAGAAAGAGTTAATAATCCAACTATTAAAAGAAAATCAAGATATATTTGCTACACAATTCTCTGAACTTCGACAAACTAATGTAGTAACCTATTCAATAAATACCTCTAATTATCTACCAATAAAACAAAGAGCATATAGAGCATCACCAAAAGAACAAGAATATATAAAAAAGGAAATAGAGTCGATGGAAAAGGAAGGAATAATTAGACCCTCAAAAAGTCCTTGGAGTTCCCCAGTTGTTCTTGTTGTCAAGAAAAATGGAAAACTGAGATTCTGTGTTGATTACAGAAAACTCAACAATCATACAAAGAAAGACACTTATCCACTACCTCGAATAGACGAAATGCTTGATGCATTAGGAAAAGCAAAATGGTTTACATCATTAGATTTAACCTCAGGATATTGGCAAGTCCAAGTAAAAGAAGAAGATAAAGAAAAGACAGCCTTTATAACAAAATTTGGGCTATATGAATTCAATGTTATGCCCTTTGGTCTTTGCAACGCACCTGCAACTTTTCAACGATTAATGGAAAAGGTTTTACAACCTGTACTCTGGAAAAAGGCTATGGTATATATTGATGATGTCAATATATATAGTGAAACATTTGAACAACATATAGAAGATCTAAAAGAAGTGTTCAAATTAATTAAAGATGCAAATTTAAGAATTAATCCTGAAAAATGTCATTTTGGTACCAACCAAATGCAATTTTTAGGACATGTAATTGGATGCGATGGTATAAAACCTGACCCACAAAAAGTGGATAAGCTCAACAATCCTATACCACCTAGGAATATAACAGAGCTAAGAGCATTTCTAGGACTAGCATCTTATTATTGAAGATTTATAGAAAACTTCTCTAAAAAGGCAGCACCATTGTTTAAATTATTACAAAAAGATGTATTATTTATTTGGACAGATAAACACCAACAAGTATTTGACTGGCTCAAATACAGACTAACAACAGCACCAATATTACAATACCCTGACTACAACCAACCATTTTTGTTGTTTACCGATGCTTCTTATCTGGGATTAGGAGCAGTACTTTCACAAGTAAGGGAAGGAAAAGAACATGTTATAGCTTATGCAAGTAGAACATTATCACCTGCAGAAAAGAATTATAGTACAGTTGAATTAGAATGCCTAGCATCAGTATGGGCAGTTAAATATTTTAGACATTACATTCACGGATCGAGATTTACACTTATAACAGAT